CGCAATCGAGGGCGTGAAGTGATTCGCGCTTCGCGATTCTGCTCCGATTCCTCCCCCGTCTCCTCTTCTCCCCTGCCCCTGGGGGGCGGCGCGAGAGCGCGAAGCGCGACGTTCGGCGCCCTTGTAGGAGGAGGAGGAGGCGGAGGAGGAGGAGGAGGAGGAGGAGGAGGAGAAGGAGGAGGAGGAGGAGGAGGAGGAGGGGGAGGGGGAGGAAGAGGAGGAGGAGGAGGAGGAGGAGGAGGAGGAGGAGGAGGACCCACGCCTTCCAAGAGGCGGGGGCGGAGCTTCTTCCCAGGCCGCCCCAGTCCCTCGCCCTGGCGCCCCCTTTTTGGGCTGGGCGCCGAGGACGAGTACACACGGCGAGAGCACATCGCCGACTTCAAGTGCGAGAAGGACCATCTCGGGGGAGGGCGAGGCCATTAGGATGAGCTGGGGGGAGGGGAGCAGAGCTTGATTTGTGGATGCCACGACAATGGACACCCCAACAGTCCTATCATTGGATTCAACATGTGTTTAACATGTCGGACAATGTTCTAAACATGTATGAAACATGTTTTTTACTTGTTTAAAACATGTTTGACCCATTCTTAGACATCTGGGAATTATTTTGCAACATGCTTTCTCTCCATTGATCGTCCTCCACAAAGCTTGATAGGGGGGAGGAGGAGGAGCAGTAGGGATGATGGTAATGAGCATGAGTATAAGGACGATGACGAGGATTATGATGCTGATGATGCTGATATAATTTTGCTGATGCTGCTGCTGATGATGATGATGCTGCTGATGCTGATGAGGATGCCGACGACGACGATGATGCTGCTGTTGAGGATGATTTTGATGCTGATGAATATGATGAGCAGGGGTGGATGAGGACGATGTTGATGTTGATGTTGATGATGATGATGGTTGATGAATCGTGTCATGATGATGGGGATGCTGATGTCGATGCTGCTGCTGACGATGCTGCTTACGATGATAATGATGCTAGTGAGGATGATGATTAGGATCATGATGATGCTGCTGATGATGACGATTATGCTGACGAGGATGCTGATAATGATGACGATGCTAATGATGATGCTGATGACGATGATGATGCTGACGATGATGATTCTGATGCTGCTGCTGATGATGCTTATGCTGATGCCGATGCCGATGATGATGATGATGCTGATGATGATGATGATGATGGCTTGTGATGCTGATGGTGATGATAATGGTGATGATGCTGATGATGCTGCTGATGATGATGCTGATGATGACGATGAGGATGCTGCTGATGATGGTGATGGTGATGATGCTGAGGACGAGGCTGATGCTGATGATGATTATCATGACGAGGCTGATCATGGTGCTGATGGTGAAACTGGTGATGACGATGTTGATGATGACGATGCTGTGTAATTATGAGGGTTCTGGTGATGATGGTGGTGGTGGTGGTGGTCGTGATGATGGTGGTGGTGATGGCGATGGTGATGCTGACGATGATGGCACTGGTGATGGTGATGCTGCTGATGATGACGATGCTGATGCCGATGATGATGATGATGATGATGATGATGATGATGATGATGATGATGATGATGATGATGATGATGCTGATGATGATGATGATGATGCTGATGGTGTTGATGCAACGGTTATGCTGCTGATGATTATGATGTTGTTGCATATGATGCTCAGGATGATGACGATGCTGCAGCTGGTGATGCTGGTGGTCATGATGGTGATGATGCCGATAGCACTCCTGATGATGCTGTTGATGATGCTGATGAGAAGTACGATGCTGATGATGGTTATGATGCGGCCGATGATGATGATGCTGCTGATGATGATGATAAGGATGATGATGATGATGATGATGATGATGACGATGATGATGATGATGATGATGATGATGACGATGGTGGTGGTGGTGGTGATGATGATGAGGATGATGATGATGCTGCTGCTGATGATGATGATGGTGGTGGTGGTGATGATGATGACGGTGACGATGATAATGAGGATGATGATGCTGATGCTGCTGATGATGATAATGCTGATGCGATGATGATGCTGATGGTGATGATGATGACGATGATGATGATGATGATGATGATGATGATGATGATGATGATGATGATGATGATGATGATGATGAGGATGAGGATGAGGATGAGGATGAGGATGTTGATGCTGATGGCTGGTGATGAGGAGGAGGACCGACGAATTGGGATGAGGAGGGTTCTCCAACAAGTACCAGGGGGCCTCGTCTGTGAACTGTCGTTTCCGAACGGCACAAGGCTTCGTCTCGAGGCCCGTAAGGGAGCGATGAGGGAGGAAGCAGTGGGAAGGGATAGGACAGACGAGGAGGGACGAGCGGAGGAGGAGGAGGAGATGGAGGAGGAGGAGTGGGGAGTGTTAGCCTAAAGCGAGCCAGTTGACGAGGACAGGTGTCCCATACGTCGCCGTGTGGCTCAAGTTTTATACGTAGCGTTAGCGCTTCGCGTATGATTTAGCCTCGTTCGTGCGAGTTTTCTTGAACTGGATCCTTTTTGTGGCGTAATTTGCAAGGGGTTGTGGCGTGAGAAAACCAATCGTTCCACTCGTATTCTTTACCCCAGCATGGGGCCGTATACTGTGAAACAGCACACGGGCGACACGTGTCATCCCGAAAACCGTGTGTGAAAAACCCATTGTTTCATTTATATTCTGGGCGCCAACATGGGCTCATACAGTGTGAAAAAACACGCGGGTGACACGTGTGACCCCGAAAACCGTGAGTAACAATTGTTCCATTCGTATTCTTGACGCCAACATGGGGCCAGACAGTGTGAACCAACACACGGGTGACACGTGTCACCCCGAAAACCGTGTGTGGAAAAGCAAGTGTTTCATTCGTATCTAGGAACAACAACATGGGGTCATACAGTGTGAAACAACACACGGGTGACACGTGTCACCCCGAAAACTGTGTGAGAATCACCCATTGTTTCATTCGTACTTTGGGCGACAACATGGGGCCACACAGCGTGAAGCAGCATACGGGTGACACGTGTCACCCCGAAGCAGTTTGTGGAAAAACCAATTGTTCCATTCGTATTCTTGTCGCCAACATGGGGCCAGACAGTGTGAAACAACACACGTGTGACACGTGTCATCCCGAGAGAGCAAAATCAATTATTTCATTCGTATTCTGGGCGCCAACATGTGGTCATACAGTGTAAAGAAAAACACGTGGGTGACACGTGTCACGCGGGTGACGTGTGCCACCCCGAAAACCGTGTGAGGAAAAAGGTTCCACTCGTTTTTGGACGCCGGCATCATCATCGTTAGCATCAACAAGTACGTCGACATCGTCATCCCCATCCTCATTTTCAACGTAATTGTCACCATCATGATCACCATCGCCATCATCATGATCACCATCTTCAGGATCATTCCTCTCATCCTCGACCTCCTCCTCCTCCCCCTCCGTCCTCCTCCCCCTCTCCTCCTCATCTCCTCCTTCCTCCTCTCCTCCCCTCCTCCCCTCCTCTCCTCCTCCCCCTCCCCCTCCTCCTCCTCCGCCACTCCTCCTCCTCCTTCCTCCTTACCTCCTCCTCCCTCCTCATCAATCCTCCTCCTACTCCTCCTCACCCTCCTCCTCCTCCTCCTCCTCATCTCCTCCTCTCCTCCTCCTCCTCCTCCTCCTCCTACTCCTCCTCCTCCCCCGCCTCCTCCTCCTCCCCCTCCTCCTCCTCGGACCAGCGAGCTCCGCACCGCGCGGCCTCAGGAAAAAGGGAGGTGCTCAAGCGAGGAACTAGACCTGAATGCCTCCGCCCTGGCACGTGGATAAGGGCGAAAGCTCCAACGCGGAGGAGGAGGAGGAGGAGGAGGAGGAGGAGGAGGAGGAGGAGGAGGAGGAGGAGCGGGAGGAGGAGGAGGAGGAGGAGGAGGAGGAGGAAGAAGAGGAGAGGGAGGGGGAGCGGGAGATGCTCCAGCGAGGAACTGGATCTTAATGCCCCTGCCCTGGCTCGCGGATAAGGGCGAAAGTTTCAACGCGCGCCCCGCAAGGAACGGGGGGGCCCGAGAGAGGCGCCGGGCTTGTGCGCGACCGCCGTCGCAGTGCGTCGAGCGAGCGCAAGGAGCCGAGCCCCTCTTGGAGCCCCGTTCCTTGGACCAGCCGCTGTCATCGACAAAGCGAGCCCGCGCGTCCAAAATCTGAAGGAACACCGGGGGGGCTTGCCGCCAAAAAGGTAGCGGAACGCATGCAAACCAAAGGAACGACCGAGCCCCTTTTTGAAAAGTAGGTGTTTCTTATTCGAGCTGGACCTAATATATCTATATATATATATATGTGTGTATATGCATATGTATGTATGTATATCCGTAAGGGCTTCGCCCCCTGCCGCCGGCCCCTTCTCTCGGAGAATGGGCCATGGAAGAGCTAAGTCATGAGGTCTTGGCGCTGTCGTGAAGCAGTATCGAAACTTCATGCGAAGCCGATTCGCAATCAGCAAAACCAACTGATCACAAGAGGGGTTACCACACCTGGCGATTGGTAGACGTGTATGGTTTACGGGCTTGGTTACCACACCTTGCGATTAAAGGGCCGAGGGAGTTCTCGCAGTTTGGGTTACCACGCCTTGCGATGGATGTGCGTGAAGGGTGGCACCGAATTTCAGAAATGTGGCAAATCCCCTGTGCTTTTGGACCCTGACCCCGCGGATCTGCGTGAGGGGTGGCACCGAATTTCAGAAATGTGGCAAATCCCCTGTGTTTTTGGACCCTGACCACGCGGATCTGCGTGAGGGGTGGCACCGAATTTCAGAAATGTTGCAAATCCCTTGTGTTTTTGGACCCTGACCCCGCGGATCTGCGTGAGGGGTGTCGATTTCGAGTTCCCCCAGCAATTCAGACAACGCGCCCAGGGGGTGCTAAAAAATCTGGTTTGGGCCTCCACCCCCTCGCGCGGTCAATCAACTAGTTACAGTAACCAGCAATAAGCAGAACTGTAACACTGGAAACTACAAGCTACAACTGGTACAGGAAACTGCGAACCTCGCGCCCACAGCCTGGTGGCCCCACAAGGGGGCCGGCGGATATATATATATATATATATATAGTTATATAGTTATATATATATATATATATATAGATATATGCGTCGCCCCTTCAGGGGCGATGCGCGCACCGAGACATCTTATAGTATATGCGTCGTGACGGGCGTTTTCTGGCCACACCGCTCGGGAAACGATATACTACAATATGGGTACACTATATGTTCGGTTCGGACGCGCGCCTCCGAGGAGGACATTCAGTACTGTGTGTCTCTGTGCGTCCTCAGAGGAGCCCGTGCAGAAGTCAGAGCCCGAAGGGCTGCCGACCTCGCGGAGGTGCCAGGCGCGCCCCAGGACGAATGCCAGAGA